TGCTGTCCCTGCTGCTGCTGCAGCCTCCCCACACCTCTGAGAGCTCTCTGTGAGCGCCCTGAGCACCCTGGATGGATAGATGGCACCCACTGATGGTCCCCACACAGGTTGGGTGTTCTGCCCTTGCTCCCCAGAGGGGAAATCACCCCTTGAGTGTGGGATTCAGCAGGACACAGGGGCTAGGGTGGCACCAGTCACTGTCACCCTGCTGCCTGGGGAGCACAGAGGGGCCCTGTGCCTGTGGGACCAGGTGGGGTGAAGGGGACCTAGAGCAGCTTTACAGCCTCAAGGATGCACCGTCCTAAAGGATAAAGGAGGGGCAGGGCTTCTCCAGGGCTTTCTTCAAACACATCTGCATTTGTTCACACATACTCCACCTCAGCACGGCCTGGGTAGCTTTAAACACATCCCTGCACACTTTGGTGGTGGTGGCACGGCCACACTGGCCTGGACCATGTCTCTGTCACATCTCAGCACAACGGGTTTAGATGCCCAAACTCTTGGAGGGTCTTGGCTTTTAGAGCAGGAAGAAGTAGCAGAAAAGAGCGAGACGTGGAGGGAAACAGCTTGGAGCAGGGACAGGATTGTGAGAGAGATCCTGGGCTACACCACCAGTGGCCAGGAGAGCTCCAGGAACTGGTGCCTGACAGCTCCAGCAGCCCAGAACTGGTGGGCAGCTTTCCTTGGAAAGCCTTTGCAGCACCAGGGGTGGGACTCAGCTGTCACATCCCTGTTTGTTGGTGTCTCCACCTGAGCTGGGCATTCAGAACCCTTACAGGCTGGAAGGTGATGAAGATGCCTCTTAAGCCCTGGGGTGAGATCAGAGTTGATATCAGAGCTGAACTGCAAGAGAGGCTCCTTGGTCCCTCTCCAGTGCCCCTCACTGGAGCCCAGAGGCCTCCACTCCTCCGTGCATCCCTGCTCTGAAGATCCCCAAAGCATCTTCATCCAATCCCTGGTGAATTGGTGGTGTTGGTGTTTTTGAGTTCTCAGGGTGCCCCTGGGGAAGGGGTAGGGCCTGGCCCACCCCCTCAATCCCACCAGCCTGGAGGTAGACAAGGACTCAAGTCCTCAAAGGTGGCTGAAGCTGAGCTCCTCCTAAAGCTCTGGGCCAGCTCAGGGCTGGATTAGCAGGTGCCTGTAAAGGAGGAACAGCTGCTGGAGCAAAAGAGCTGAAACATCTCAAACCTTGCTCATGCATCAAACCTCAGATGAAAAGCTGGGGTGAGAGTGGAGTGCCCATTCCAGTCAATATTCCCTTCCTTTAATGCTCTTTTGGGTCCAGTGTCAGGCTCAGGGGTGCCCCAGGAGAAGGGAGTGCCCGTGGCACCCCTGTGTGTGTCTGTTTTCCTTCCCTCACCTCACCCTGTGCTGGGTGCTCTGCAGAGAGCCTGGATTTGGAGGGATTCGGGTCCTTTTGGGTGCCCAGCTGGGGCCCTGCTGCAGGAGGAGAGACCCTCAGGAGAACAGAAGCTGCACACAGGACCTGAGACCCCAGAGCATGGCTGGGAGCTGCTCCCAGGTGTGTCCTGGCTGCCAGAGCTGCAGGAAGGAGCAGCAGCTTCTGGCTGAGCTGTGCCAGGAGCGGCAGTGCGGGAGCAGGGGCGGGGGAAGCGCAGGGGCCCCTCTCCACCTCCTGCCAGGCTTTCCCTGAGGATCCTGGGGGCTCTCGCTGGCCTGGCATGGTGGGAACTGCTGGAGCAGGAGCAGGGCAGGAGGAGCAGAAAAAAGAGCAGGAGCAAGGGTAGGAATAGGAGTAGGAGCAGGAGCAGGGGGAGGAACAGGAACCGAGGTAGGAACAGGAGCAGAAACAGGAGTAGGACCTGGAGCAGGGACAGGAGATGGAGCAGGGGTAAAGCAGGACCAAGCCAAGGAGGAGCAGGGACAGAGGCTGGAGCAGAGACAGGGGCTGGAGCAGGGGTAGGAGCTGGAGCAGGGACAGGAGCTGGAGCAGGAAGAGGAGCTGGAGCAGGAGCAATAGCAGGACCAAGTCAAGGAGGAGCAGGGACAGGGGCTGGAGCAGGGACAGGAGCTGGAGCAGGGGTGAAGCAGGACCAAGCCAAGGAGCAGCAGCGGCAGCAGGAGCAGCGGCAGCAGCATCAACCCCCGGGCCGGCTGCTGCCCGGGCCCGGCTGTGATGAGCTCTCCAGGCCTCAGCCCCGCTCCCGCTGTCTCCGCCCGCCCCTCCCGGCCTCCAGCCGCTGCTCCTGGCCCAGAGCCGCCCATCCTTCGCTGGGATCTCGCCTTACCTGGAGGCCGCGGGGGCCGGGGGGTCCCGGGCGGCCCCGCTCCGGCTCCGGGCGCTGCGCTTTGCGTTTGTGCCTGGGAAATACCCGGCCGGCGTTTTATCGGCGCGGCTGATAAATATTGCATCGGCCCTGAACTTGGCGGAGCGGGGGCACCGCGGCACCGGCCCCGGCACCGGGCACGGGCCGGGAGGGGCGGGGGAGCCTCGGCAGCGGCTCCGGGGCTGCGGGGGGAGCCGCGGCAAGGGGGGGCCGGGGCCCCGCTAATGCTGCGCGGAGCCGGGCCGGGCCCCCCCGGGCAGCACTCAGCATCCCGCCTCATTAAAGTTTCATCGGCAGCGCTCGGCCAAGGTCTATTTATGAAAATGCGCTTTTCGCTGCATGGAGAAAACAGGGACGGAGCGCAAGAACAAAGGGATGGGCTTTGGGAAGCGGCCGGGAATAAAGAGGGATGTGCGGGACGGGGTGCGGGAATGCCGGGGTGCGGGCAGGGCAGGGCTGTGCCAGCCACCGCCGAGCTGGCCCCGCTCGCCCAGGGGCAGCAACTCCTCCGACAGTAATTTCGGGCTCCGCACAATTTCCCCTCTTTTCTTCCTTTCTTCTTCTATTTTTTTTTTTTTTTGGTGGGTTTTGGAGTTTTTTGTTTGTTTGTTTGTTTGTTTATTTGCTTTTTGTTGGTTTTCCTTACTTCTTTGTGGAGTTTGAGGGTTTTGTTTGTTTGCAATTTTGTTTGGCTTGTCTTATGGTTTTTGGGTTGCTTGTTTGGTTTCGGTTTTATTTAATTTCACTTCATTTCATTAGTTCACTTTCGTTCATTTTACTTCGTTTTATTTTATTTCACTTTATCGTATTTCATTTCATTTCCCTTTCATTTCATTTCATTCTACTTTATTTTTTCTTGTTCTACTTCGCTTTTCCCCTGTAAAAGCCGCAGGGTCCCGGCTGTCGGGCTTCAACACCACGACGCGCGTTTGATTATTTTTTTCTCCCCGAATAAGTTATAAAACAAAACAAAACAAAACAAAACAACAACAAAAAAAAAAAAACACCCACAAACAAAAACCCAAGCAAACAGAAAAAAACTAAAACAAAAACACCCCAAAGAAAGAAAGAAAGAAAGCAAACAAAACCCGCTTGGTTTTAGCCCTTTTCCCCCGTGTCAGAAAGGACACCCCGGTCCCACCTGCCGGGAGCTTGGGGAGCGGAGCCGGGAGAGGGCGAATGTCCCTTTTGGAGCCGGGGGGTGACCGGGACACTTGGGGTGACAGGAGCACCCGGGGGTGGCACGGGCACCCAGGGATGTCCCCCCACGGGCTGCGGACTCAGGGGGCAGCTCCCGGTGCTGCGACAGCGCCGCATCGACCCCCGGGCTGCGGGAGCGACCCCCGGGCTGCGGGAGCGACCCCCGGGCGGGGAAGGGCCAAACCCGCCGCGATGTCCAGAGGGGATCCCGGACCCCCCGGTCCGTTCTGTCCGTGCCCATCCCCGCGGGCACCGGGAGTCCCGCGGAAGGAGCCCCGGGCTCGCCGGAGCCGCGGTAAGCGCAGGAAGGAGGCAGGAGGGTGAGGTAAAACGTGCATGATTTATTTGAAATGCTGCAGCGTACACAGACACCAAAATTTCATTCAGCACACACACGGCGGAACGAAATCTCCTTTAATTCATAAAATAAAATTTAAAATTTTAAAAAAAGAAAAAAGAAAACAAAAAGAGGCAATTTTCTCTATTAAATATGCAAAGGAAAGGGGGGGAAATAAGAGTTTTCTTGCCTTCGAAAGTGCAGAGTTCCCTACGCGCAGAGGCAGCCGCGCCGAGGCCGGGCCGGGTCCGTCCCCGCTGCCTCGGGCCGCTCCCGCCGCTCCGCTGAGCCCCAGGGACGTGATTGTCGAAGCTTAGGATTTTATACAGTGAAAACCATACAGAAATCGAACGGTTGGAGGGAAACCAACGCAAAATAAATCTCCATTTCCCCGAACAAACCGCGACTCCAGGGACGGGCCAATTTTTTTTTTTTTCTTTTTTAATATTTTCTCCTTTTTTTAATCCTTTTAAATTTTTTTTTTCAATTTAGCCGATGAGGTAGAAACAGAAATGGTACTGCAAAAACGCGATGGGTTTGCGGGGGGCAGGGGAAAGAACAAAACCATGCAGGTGCGTGTGTGTGCGTGGGTGTGCGGGGACCCTGGCGGCGGGGAGCATCCCGGCTTTACAGCTGGCTTCCAGCTCGCTTCCTTTCTCATTTCTTTGCCTTGTTTTAATTTTTTTTAATTTTTTTTTTTTTAAGAAGAAGAGGAGCGGACACTGAGGAGTGAGCGGCGCCACGGTCCCCAGGCCGGGAGGGACTGTGACAAAGCCCCACCGGGCTCTCGCTGCTGCTGCTGCTGCCCCGACTCCGGGCACCCCCAAACTTCCCCCTTGGCCTTTTCGTTTTGTCTTTTTCTCCATCTTTTTTTTTTCTTTTTTTCTCCAGTTTTATCTACAAAAGCAGTCTGTACCAGTCAGAACAGCGGGGCCACTTTGCCCAGGGGTGAGGAGCAGGCACCAAACCGTTCGCTTTGCTTTGGGCGCGTTTCCCTTTATTTTAAAGTTTATTTTTTTCCTTTTTTTTTCTTTTTTGTTTGTTTGCTTGCTTTTTTCCCCAATTTTTAACCCAAAAAAAAAAAAGTAGCCGACAACCCCAAGCCCTGTTCGGAAGGACCGGGGGGCGGTCGGGAGGGCAGCACCCCCCGCTCCGCTGCCTCCCCAGCCCCTTCCTCAGTAGGTGGCAGAAAATTTCATCCTTTTCTGCTTCTGTCTCTGATTGCAAAACCAGACCCGCACCACGTTCTTCTTCAAGTCTAACTTCTCGGCGATGGCGGCGATTTTCTCGGAGGAGGGCCGGGGCTGCACGGCGAAATAGGCCTCGAGCGAGCGCTTCTCGGGGGCGGCGATGGAGGTGCGCTTGCGCTTCTTGTCCCCCCCCGTGTAGATCTCGGGTTTGGTCATTTTTTCCCTCTGCGCCCTCTCCGCCTCCTCCAGCCACGCTTCCAGGATGGGCTTGAGGGCCACCATGTTGTTGTGGGACAAGGTGAGCGACTCGAACCTGCAGATGGTGCTTTGGCTGAGGCAGCCCACCCCCGGGATCTTCAGGTTGGCCAGCGCGGAGCCCACGTCCGCCTGGGTGACCCCCAGCTTGATCCTGCGCTGCTTGAAGCGCTCGGCGAAGGACTCGAGCTCCCGCGGGTCCGTCTCGGTCTCGGGGCCGGAGATGACGGCGTGGGACGCGAGGCCGTGGGGGTGGGACATGTTCATGGGCTGCGGGTGGTGGGCCATGTGGTTGATGGCCGACATGTGGGAGTGCGGGTGCGAAGGCGTGGAGCCCACGTCGGGGCCCGGCACCCCTCCGAGCGGCAGGGCGGAGTTGAGGTGCTCCAGCAGCTCCCCGTCCAGGCCCTGCGAGGGCTGGTGGTGGTGGTGGTGCGGGTGGTGCGTGGTCAGCACGGACGGGTGGTGCAGGTGCACGGAGGACGAGGTAGGAGTGCAGGACACGCTGCTCATGGTGTGGTAGGTGGCGTCCGGCTTGAAGGGGTGCGTTTTCTGCGACACGATATCCACGGCGGCCAGAGCCTCGGCGCCCCGCAGCAGCGTCTCGTCAAAGCCCGCAAAGATGTTCCCCTGGATCTGCGCGGAGGGGAAAAGGGGAGCGAAAACAAACGCAGAGAGCGGGAGACGATTAACGGGGAGCGGCGTGACCGAGATCCCGCTCTGCCCTGCCGGGGACAGGTAACGCGAACCGAGCGCTGCCCGAGCCCCAGATGAAAGCACCGCGGGGCCGGACACCGAGCGCTCTGCTCTCCCTCCGAGCCGGGCACCCGCTCTGCCCTCCGGGGGAGCTCCCCAAAGAGAGGCAGCGGCAGGGCCGGAGCCGTCGGGGGTCCCGCAGCCGTCGGGGGTCCCGCAGCCCGCGCTGCTCCAGCGCCCGCACGGAGCGGGACGGGACGGGACGGCCGAAGCTCCCCGAGCCCCCCAACCCCAGAGCCCCCTGCCCGGGAACAGCCCCCGCCGGGCTCGGGGGAGGCAGGACGGGAAGGACGGACCCCGGAACCCAGCCGAACCCCAGACCCCAAGGGAAGGCAGAGTAAGTTGGCGAGGGACGGCGGGCACGGAAGGTGCCGAAAGCCGCGCTGGCTTACCTGAGGGGCGGGCAGGCAGGCTCTGCGGATGGCTTCGGAGCTGGTGTGCAGGTGCGGGTACTTGGGCTCGTGCAGGATGGGGTGCATGCTGAACGCCTGCTTGCTGTTCATGGACATCATGGTGGGAGCGGAGCGGGGCCGGCCGGGGCAGGGCAGGGCAGGGCGCTCCGGGCACCCGGCTCGGGGGCGCGGTATTGTCTGGCTCCGCCGCCCGGCATCAATGGCATTATAGCCCGGCCCCCCCGCCCACCGGGAGGGGCCGGGGAGGTCCCTCCCAGCGCCCGCCCCCGGGCACTGAGCTCACCCCCCCAAACGGGGCTCAGCGCCCTCCGCCCGTGCTGCTCCCTCCCCCGATCCGGGTGTAACCCCCCCAAACCAGAGCTCCCCACCTGTCGGTGAGCCCCCCCCAAACCCGGCTCAGCCCCCATCCCCGCCCCTCCCCGGCTCTGCTCACTCCGCAGGTGCGGCCTTGTCCCTGTCACCCCCCGTCTGGTCGGGGGGCATCGCCCCCGTCCAGCCCTGCCCGCGGCTCCCCCGGGGGAATCCGGGGAGCAGAACAGCTCAGAACCCGCGGCTGAATGGGAGCCGTTCCCCTTCTCCCTTCGAAGGGAAGAACCTTGGGCCAAAAATCATAACAACAAAGAAATCAAGAAAAGTTTCACCAACTTTCTTCTTCCCTGCTTCAGTGAATCTCCCTGGCTCGTTCCCCAAATCCTCCCGTGCAGAGTCCCAGCCTGTCTGTGCAGCCTCTCCATTCTCCAGCTCATTGCTGCCCTGCACTCCCCCATCCGTGCCAATTTCCCCACAGCCCGCGGTGATTCCTTCCCCCTGTCCCTCCCTGCCACCAAGGCCAGCTCCTGCCGCCACTGGAGTTTGGTTGCTCTGCTGGATCAGGGGTGGGGGCGTTGCCGCCCCCCCAGAAGCTCTCAAAGGTGCACGAGGGATGTGACAGCCCCAGCAGCCCAGAGCAGAGGGCTGCCGAGGAGGAATCCCAGTGCCTGGGGTGGTGGGGGACAGGAGGGTCCCAGGCTCAGAGCAAACTTCTCCAGGGAGCCAGGTGTGCTTCTGCAGCCCCAAAACCCACCTCGATGGCTTTGGTGCACGGAGCAGGAGAGTCAGGGGCAGGATCTGTTTCCTGCTCCCTTTGCCACTCCTCTCCACAGAGCCTGAGCACAGCACCCTCAGTCCCTTCTCCTGGGGATCCTGCCAGGTGCCTTGGCACAGACGTGGTCAGTGAGTGGCACAGGGAAAGGAAAATCCTGACCTGGCCCCATGACCTGATCCCCACTTCACCTGAGAGGCTGAACCATCCCCAAAAAGATCACAGAGTGGGTTGGGCTGGGAGGCACCTGAAAGATCACCCAGTGCCAGCCCCCTGCCATGGGCAGGGACACCAGGGAGCCACCAGAGACATTTCCTTGGTGCTGGACCTGCCCAGGGGAAGGTCAGATCCAGTGACAGGAGACTGAAAGGCACAATCACTGTGTCTGGCAATGCCCAGACTCGGGCACAGCCACCAAACCCACCATGGAAGTCCCCAAATCCAGCCCCGTGCAGCTCATGCAGAGGGTGGGGGAGAGTCCCCAGGGCTGAATCCTGGCTCCAGAGAAATCCTCCTGGGGAAAAACCTGCACCAGCATCAAGGTGCTGCCAGAGAGGCCCTGTCACCTGTCCCTGGTGGCCTGAGGCAGTGCCAGCCCTTCCTGAGCTCTGGAGGACAGCAGGCCCTGCAGGATGCTCTGGCTCTCCAGGGGCAGCAGCTCAGGAGCCTCTTCCCTGCTCCTGCTGCCAGCCCAGCTCTGTCAGGCCTCCCCTCTGCTCCTGGAGAGCTGCAGCATCAGCTGGTGGCCAGGGGAGTCTGGAGGCTGGAAAGCTCCACTGAGCTCCAGCAGAATTCCTCAGGAGGGGAATTGTCCCTTCCAGGTGCTCTGTGGTGGGATCTCTGCCCTCCAGCTGGGTTTGTGAATTCTCTCACGACTCTGGGAGCTTTTGTCTCAGGATATTCCACAGCTCCTTTTGCTGGGCTCTTCTTGGTGGCCCCTCTACTCCACTTTTCCTCATTTTCTACATTTCAGCAGCTCAGAGAAGGTTGGACAGAGCAGTTCAGCTCCTGGATTTCGAGGAAGCAAACCTGTGCCAAGCTGCATTTCACTGCTGCTCGTGTAGGAAAATTGGATCAGTTGAAGTAAACAGCATTCCCTCCTTCCCATGCCTCTGTGTGCCAGCCTTTGCTCTTTTCCTGTGGCAGCCCTGAGCATCCTGCGCTGAACTTTGGCCTGACAATGAAGGTTTTGAGCAAGGGACACTCAGGGAGGATCCCTGAATGCATCTCTGGGCGCCCTAAAACCCAGGGACACCACAGGGACATCAGGAACCCCCTCCCAGCCCCATTCCATGGATGAGCTCACCTCCCACCACCTCCTCCACTGTGGATCTGTGGGCTGCTCCCAGAGGGGAAGAGAGCAGCGCCTCCATATCAAATCTCTGGGTTGAGTTGGGATTTATCAGGCTCCTCCTGGGCAGGGAAAACAAGGAAAACCCTCCTGTCTTTGTGCAGAGATGTGGAAACACCACACAAGGAGAGGTTTCTGCAGCAGTGACAATCACAAACATCTCAAGCACTTCCACAGTTGTTGCTTTAGCCCTGGGGAGCTGAGTGTTGGCACTTCCATGGAGTGAGATGAACTTCCAGGGGAGTGCCAGTGCTCTGCTCTGGCTTTCTGGGCTAAGATGGGACAGCTCTGCAATGCTCCTTGCAGCCTTTTAACTTCTGTCCCAGCTTTCCTCCCTAACTGACCCAAAAACTGCAATAGTCCAGACCCACCTCTCCCACCCATCCATACCAGCAACCCCTGTGAAGCAGGAAATGCTTCCCTGGAATCAGAATTAAATAGAGGAAAGTCAGGATAATTTATTTATCAAAACAAATAAAAGCACTGAACAAAGACCTTCATGATCTGAGTCTTAGGAAAACAAATTCCTTCCAGGGTGATTCCAGCTTCCAGGCTAAGAGCTGGCACCCCAACCTGGTCAGTGGCTTTAGGGACCTTCTCTGAAATAAATCCCTGAAATAAATGAAGTCTGGGAGTCTCCTCACATTGTGTGCTGTGGTTTTGTGCCATGGAATGATTCGCAAATGAGCCAACAGGGCAAGAATATTTTGGGATTCATGACCCAGGGCCTCTGGTTTCTCATCCCCACTGGAAAAACAATCTTGGACACGTTCTCAGCCAGGTCTGAGCTCGAGGAGCTCCAGCTCCGTTGCCTTTTGAGGATGCCCCACAATCTCCCGGCCTGGCTCCGTGCCCGCAGCAGCTCCGCCTGCTCCCGGTGCTCTCCATCCCAGCCCATCCCAGCCCATCCCAGCCCTGCCATGTGCCTCGCCGCCTCAGGCGCTTGCCTGCAGACTCCAGCTGTTTTTATTACCTAAGTGGGTTTGATTGCTCCTTCATTTGTGCCTGAGCGAGAGCCCTTGGCACCCTCGTGGGCTTTAATGGGGTCTGCGTGTTCTCGCTCCCAATTAAACCCACGGGCGGCGATTAGCAGCTTCCAGGAGCGGAGCAGGGGGGACGCGGCTTCCCAGGGCTCCGGGAGCGCATCCTGCCGAAGGGACGCGCTTGGAGCACCCCGGGCAGACAGCTGGGCTGCCTGGAAATGGCGCTGCCCCCGGTGACCGCCGCCGCTTTGTGCTCGCCGGGGGAGGCTCGGCTCAGCCGTGCCAGCCTGGCACAGACTCATTTCCAGCACTGGGGGACAGTGCTGGTGGTGCCCAGGGCAGGTGTCACCCCACACATTAAGGACAGCTCCACACCTGCCCTGGCTGCCGCGGCTGCTCCTGGAAAACCTCATGTGGTGTGATGCAGAGATCAGGGCATGGAAAACCTTGCCCTGCTTGGTCCTTCCCTCCCCTCCCTTTTCCTTGCGCTCCCGCCCAGGGCCTGAGCAGGTGGAAGAACCCAAAACCGGTGAATTTCTGGTGCACTTGGAATTTTCAGCCCCGAGTTCTGAGTCCAGGAGCCGTCCCAGCCCCTGGAGCTGCTCTGCCAGGATGGTCCCGGCTGTCCGACGAGCACATCACATCCACCACATCCCACCACAGCCTCTGTGGGAACCCCAGGGAGGAGCCATCCGTCAAAATTAAGATGTTGGGGGAGTAAATGCTTCAATCTCATTGGAACTGGTGTTTTCTGATGAAAATTGGTTCTGTCAGGAAATGGGGAAGTGGCACTACCTGCCGGAGGCCCCTGCACTGGGACTGGGGGTGGCTGGAGTCGGCTGATGAGTGCGGGAATGGAATGGAAAATCCAGGCCCAGGAGCTTTTCAACTCAATTAAGGTCTGGCTCGCTCCTGAGACAAACCCATGGCATTGGGAAGAACATTCCTCCCACACTGAACTGAACGTGGTGTGGGGTCAAGGACCTCGACAGGCTGAAGTGACACCTCAGGTGACAGATGGTGGCATTATGGAAAACTCAACAGAGACCAAATTCTGCATTGGAATTAGGAGCAGACATCACAGAACCATGGAATCGTTGAGGTGGGAAAAATCCTCTCAGATCCTTGAGTCCAAGCACTCCTCAGCAGGGCCGCCAGTGTCCCAATGTCCCCACTGCCACATCCCCACAGCTCCTGAGCCCCTCCAGCCATGGTGCCAAGGTGTGGGCTGAAAAACCACACTTCCAAAATGCCTGTTTCTGGAGGAAAATGCAGGAATAGCTCCTAATGAGGATGAGATCCCTTCCCAGCCAGAAGAGCAGGGTGTTTAATGCAGGCCTTGCACTTGAGGTGTAAGAGAAAGATGATCCGTGCTGGCCAACAGATCCAGCTTGTAAAAATCCTTATTAAAACCCCACTGAGCCTAATCAGGAAAGATGGCTTTTAATTAAAAAGTGCAACCATTCAGCCAACTTTTATAGGAGATTGCTGCGACCCCAGGAGATGCCAACCAGCAATAGCCTCAACTCCTTCCGGAGGGAGGGATCCTTCCCATCCTTTGTTAGCTGGAACATCTCTGCTGCTTTTAAATGGGCAACTTCACAGCTTTCCTGAGTGTGGTTTCTTCCATTAGGAAATGGGAATCTTCTAACAGCTCACCCAGGCAGCAAAATTCCTGCACTCC